CCCCCCCCATGTCGAGCCGGTTCACAATTCTATTCTACGAGTAACAGCATATGCGAAGACGCGGGAAGGCCGAAGCCGGGGCAATGGCAAGGCGCACCTTGTAAGCTCACAGTGATCAATTGATACATCCCCGCAATGATACGTAAGCGTCTGGATCTGCCGTGGGATACTACCGTACTAGAGACTGTAGACTGCAGTAGCATCAATACCTTTTAGTTTTATTATTTTTATTATTTATTGTTTATATTTTTATTTGTTTACTCAACGCCGGTGCTTCCCACATGTGGGCAGAGGGCGCAGTGGTAGTATGGATACCAATACCGGTAGGCTGTAGTCGGTAATGCTACGAGCAATCTGCATCACTCCGTACTATCCATCACTTGCTATACTCGTACCCGGTATTATCATTATTATCAGCATTATCGACTATCGACCGCAGGTATCGCTACGAACAGTCATAGCCGGAGTTCCAGTAGCAGGAGTCTACGAGTAGTGACGCTCCGTAGTATTGGTATCTATCATTACGAGGAGCAAGAGATCCTGAGCCAAGGCTGCATATGCGCCGATCCCGACTCACGCTACCGGCACCGAAATGCCGAATTACCAAGGTAGTGCGTAGTGCGATGTCGAGATGCGGATGCGTGGGTGGGACTCGTGAGAGGTCTTGGGAAAGGTCTCGGAAGAGGGAAGAATAGAGAGAGAGAGGGAGAGAGAGAGAGGGAGAGAGAGAGAGGGAGAGAGAGAGAGTCGGTCGGAAAGCGAGAGAAGAGGCAAGAGATTCATCAAAATCAGAAATCGTCAAAAGTCTGGTCAGAATCACTGCATCCACCATCCGTGGAACATCCATGGATAATCCGGACTCGGCTGGCGGGGCCGCATTGAATCATGGAGACGGGGGTACGACGAGCCGCGACGCGACGGTCCTCGTCGGACTGATAATTTTCACTAGGCATTACTGTATCTGTCTCATCTCTATTCCTTTCTTTTTTTTCCCCTTCTTTTTCTTCTTCTTCTTTTTTCCGCAACGATTCTCTCCCCTTGTGTAGGAGGGCCAATTTTGAAGAGCACCGAAGCTCGCTCACCGAGGAGCCAGACCGCCCATCAACTCTCCCCTGTACCTTACACCATTGCCAAGGCCGAGGACCACCAGGCCGTCGTCGCCCCCCCCCCCGGCTGAGTGATGACAGATGGCCTAGTCCAGCATCCCACATCGGTATACATGGATATCTCGCCCCCCCCCCCGACAACACTCCCGGCCACCGGTATGTCAGACAGTGATACCCGTCACGCTGAGCATAGATCTACGCGTCACGCATCATCACCCTCCCCCCCTTCACTCCCATGCAGAATTCATCGACCCTCACGTCACCTCACCCCCCATCCATCCTCCAGCAGCGCCGTCGCCTCCTCGAGAGACAGCCCGGCCGTCTCCGGGTATATACGCCAGATGAGCACGTAGCCCCCAACACACACGAGCGCGTAGAGGACAAACGTCCAGGGGGGCGTGAGCGCGTCCATGAGCGGTAGGAAGGTGAGCCCGATGGCAAAGTTGGACCCCCAGTTGGTCGCCGTGGCCACACCGCTGCCCAGCGACCGCACCGACAGGGGGAACAGCTCGCTCTGCATCCAGGGCACGTTCCCCAGACCCAGGGCGAACGAGGCGACGTACACCATGATGCTCACCAGGATGATGGGGGCGCCGAACCCGGACGCTGCCTGCGCTTCCCGGCTGCCGTCCCGACCCTCCGACGACGGCGCCGGTATGAGAGAGAAGCCGAATGCTGCCGCCAGGAGACCTGCGATCATGAAGGGGATGGACCGCAGGAGGATGCGTCGCCGCCCGACGCGGTCAATCAGACTCAACGCGACGGTGGTGAAGATCAGGTTGGTCACCGCCACGACGAGGGACGTCAATGTCGGGCTGCGGAAGCCGACCATGGTGAAAATCGTGGCCGAGAAGTACATGAGCGAGTTCTGTGCGTGTCAGCTCCACATCGTAGTATCCGAGCCGAGCACGAGGCGGGGAAGCATAGTAGAGAGAACAGGGGAGGACGTACGAATCCGCACAACTGCTGGAGCCCCTGGAGGAGACACGCGATGGCCAGCGCACGGCGGTTCTTGCCCTCCCTCAGCAGCTCCTGCCAGTCACCGAGCCAGGCCCGCGAGCCGTGCCGCCTCAGCTGCCGTGCCTGCCTCTCCTGCCGTGCCTCCATCTCGATCTCGCCGACGAGCGCGTCGGCCTCGGCGTCGGCCTCGGCGTCGGCGGCGGCCGACCTGGCCATCCCATCCTGGCCATTGACCCTCTGTATCACGCGCTTGGCCGCCGCCGACCTTCCCACCTTGACGAGCCACCGGGGTGTCTCGGGCATGAGCACGATCACCGCCGCCTGCACCGCCGCCGGGACGCCGCCCAGCCCGACCATCCACCGCCACGCCGTGGCCCGGGTCCCGAAGGTGGAGAAGAGCCAGCCGACGATGTAGGCCACCGCCTGGCCGAGCGTGATGAAGAGGACGTTCATCGTCACCAGCCGCCCGCGCTGCGACGAGGGCGCCACCTCGGCGATGTAGAGGGGCACGACGAAGCTGGCCGCCCCCACGCCGGCGCCCACGATGCACCGCCCCGCCGTCATGGCCGCCACGCTCCCGCTCAGGCACTGCACCAGCGACCCGGCCAAGAAGAGCCCGTCTGCGTATAGGATGACCCGCTTGCGGCCGAGCTTGTCGGCCAGCACGGACGATAGGGGCGATACTGCCAGCGCGAAGAGGGATGTCGACGACGTGATGACGGACTTGTCCAGCGACGTGAGCTCGCGGCCCGACAGGGACGTGCCGATGGAGACGAGAGTCGCCGAGATGACGCCCGTATCGTCTGTCTGGTGTTATCAAAGGCGGATCGTAGGAATATGTAAGGGGGGACGGGAGGGAGGAGATAGCGAGGGAGCCAGGGCATCGTAGAGAGACACGTATCGAGACCTACATCCGAATAGCAATCCGCTGATACCCGCGGCCAGAGTCAGCAGCAGCACGAATGCGCTGGGCTTGGTCCCGGGCTTGGCCAGCAGCTCGGCCACCGGGGCGATCGGGTCGTCATCCTCTCCGTCGTTCTGGAGGCCTCGGTGACGCTGGCGGTCCGAAATTAGCGGTGCCTCGGGTCCGTCCATACTGGCTGCATTATTCGAGGAAGGAGAGCGGGGTGAGACGAGTATGTTTTGGCCTGCTTATTCCACTTGTCGGTGTCGTCGTCGTCGGCGTTTTGTGTGTGTCCCTGACTGTTGCTTTGCTGCCGACGTAGAGCGCTGTCTGTCTGCTGACGTATCTTATCTTATCTCAGCGTTATCTACCGCCCCACAGAGCTAATCTATGAGCTTTGCCAATATATTACGACCCGCCTGCTCGTAGTAGCATCCGACCTGGGTGGCATAACAGCTGGACCGCTGTGTCGCGTGACTCTTCCGAGGCAGCCACTCTGCGGAAATGGGCGTGGCCGGCAGTATCAATGCAGCTGACAGGCTATTACATACTGCACGGATGAAGGACCTGCCATCCCACAAGGGGTCACCCCCGTCAGTGTGCGTGTATGTGCGCGTATGTGCGTGTATGTGTGTGTGTGTGTATGTGTGTGTGTGTGTATGTGTGTGTGTGTGTATGTGTATATGTGTGTGTGTATGTGTGTATGCGTACTGCATGTGATTGGTAGCCAGAGGCGAACAGTGGCATCCTTCGCCAATGATAGCAACGAGGCTCATCTGTACGTCTGTGGCGCCCGAGTTGGATACGAACTGCTACGATGTAATACTGTGATGGTGCTCGGACTCGGACACGGAAACACCACGGGGCACCAGCGCTGCCATGATGACGGGCTGTGCCGGATGGGGAGAGAGGTCGGGAGGGAGAGAAGAGTCAAGAAACTCGAAGAAGACGAAAGAAAGAGAAGCGAAGAGATGAGAAGAGGAGGCCCAGGCCACGACAACGTGGGTGCCGTCCGGCATGCATGAGGGGTGCAGGGGTGATGAGGGTGTTTTGGCTGTTTCGCAGATGCACCTCTGACCAGAGGAGAGGACCTGATCATCATCATTGTAGAGTGTAATCTGTACAGATCAGAGTCCGTGATACGACACGATAATAACAGGCCTTACTCGGGCTCCATGTCAAGAGCTCCATCTCTCTTCTCTGAGAAACCAACCCCCCCCCCCCCCCCCCCCCCCCCCCCCCCCCCCCCCCCCCCCCCCCCCCCCCCCCCCCCCGGCCGCATGCTGCACTTCGCATGGAGAGTCCTGCGGCAATTGCAGCAGGCATACAGAGTAGCGTCGCCCAGGAACAGCGGCATAGGCCGTGCTAGTACAGCGGGGCGGACAGGGACAGGGCTCCTGAAACGTGAAGGCCTGAAGGGCAGGATACGGTGCTACCTTGCGGACTTGGACACATGCACGATATCGTGCAATTCGAGAGTCGAGCGTACAGGTCGACATCGCCTCCCCGTCCATCGTCCATCGTCCATCGTCCATCGTCCATCGTCCATACGGAAAAAAAAAAGAAAAAAAAAAAACCTGCGATCTCAGGTAGAGACGGCGGGGCCGGTACAGGCGAGTGTTATAGGGCAATGCCACCTAGAGCGATTATGGGGGACTGCCCTGGAGAGGTTCCTGGGAATCGGCTGGCCTCAGTGGCTTGCAGGTTTGGAGTAGTCAGATAATAGTGGATCTCCGCCTCGACACCCTCCAATGTCCTTGATTCAATCCCGCCGCCGCTTTCCTTCTCCTAATCGTCGCCAGCCATCCACATCCACATCCAGAGCCAGAATCCGTCCGGACAGCCACCTGGCCCATCCATCCCCCTCCATCCATCCATCCATCCAGCCAGCCAACCAACCTCCGACTCATCCTCCGACACACACAATCTCTCCCACCCATCATTACTCTCTTTGTTCTCTGTCCCTTTTTTTTTTTTTCTCTTTTAATTTTTTTTTTTTTTTTTTTTTTGCGCTGACAGCTCCTTTCTTCGCTGCTTTCTCTTCTCCATACTCCTTTTTTGTTTCCCTTTCTTTCTCGTGCGAGTACTCTGATGTTTTCTACCCGTACAGCTGCAAACCTCCCCTACCCCATAAACGGTGCCGCGTAATAAACTCTCATCAACGAACCATAACATACAACGTCTTTTGTCGCGTCCAACGTCCGCCTCACTGACCTCTCTCAACGGTCAACCGAGCTCTCTCCTCTCCTCGACAGAGAACTTTTGCCGAGTCACGAACCCCCTCCCCCTCGAGAGCGCACAGCAGGGTCCACTCCCCCGACAGATATCATGGACATGCAGTCCCAGTCGGGTTCACAGCGCAGCTTCCAACGCCGGTCGCCGCCGGGGGATCCTGGGCCGCCTCCGAATGTACCGATCAGGTCCATCTCGCCCGGTGTCCAGGGTCGACCGTCTACCGGTTCCGGTCGACCTGGCCAATCCAGCGGCTCTAGGAGGATGACGAAAGAGGTATGATGGCCCGGGTACGAGTCAAATATACGGATGGTCTGGCTGACGTTTCTCCTCCCATAGACTTCACCAGGCAGCAGTTCAAATGTCCCCCTCTCTCAGATCGAAAAGAGCGTCACCCACCTCCTTGTCGCTACAAAGCAGCTCCTCGAGACCCTCACCCAGTGGTCGCGGGGCCAGGCCTCCGACGCCCAGGTGTCCGACGTCTACGTCCGCCTCGGCTACGAATTCAACATGGCTTGCCGTGCTTTCAGCGCCATCAACGTCGACGTATCCGACCTGGGCAACGTACCCGATCTCCTACGTCACATCCTCGAGGCCACCCTCAGCCAAGAGGCCAGCTCCGAGAACCTCGAAAGGTACCTGCCCCGCATACGAGACATCATCATCAACCTCCTCCACGGCCTCAAGCGTAAACAGCACAAGCTGCGCCAGAAGCAGCAGTGGCGCGACCGCGACGGAAACCCCATCCCCGAGAGGGCAACGAGCGTCAGCACCGTCGACAGCGGCAACAGCGGTCTCTCTAACCTCCTCGAAGAAGGCATAGATGACGGCTACAGGCCCGACATGTCGCGGACCGAGCCCCCTCCGCCCCAGGCCGCCCGGAATCCCTCCCCTAGCCGACGATATAACTCACAGAGGGGGCAGGCCGCGCCCTCGGCTGAAATGGGCGACCAGTTCCCGTCCTCGTTGCCGGGCAATAACTCCATCCAGAACGCGGCCTCGCTACCGCCCTACCCCACCGACGAGCGGGCCATGCCCCCGGCAAAGGGCGAGTTCAATGTCGACGCCTTCCCCCCGCCTCCGCCTCCGCCCCCGCCAGACAACCAGTCTAGCGCCCTGGCAGCCCTGCAGAAAGGGGGTGACCTGGAGCGCCGCGCATCGCGCAGATACTCCCAGTATCAGCTCTCGAAGCACCTCGGGGGAGCTGCTAATGGCGTTCCCATGCTGCCCCAGAACGGACCGGTGCCGAACCGGGGCAAGAGGGAGAATCGCGAATCGCTGCGGGCAGTCCAGAAGCGCGAGTCCGTCCGCGCCAGTAGGCACCAGCGTAATGGCGGGTATGACGGGGGGCCGGCAAGGAAACCTTCGGTCGCCACCGCCTCGATCTCCGACCAGGATCCCAAGGCGCAGCAGCTGCCGTCGTACCCCGAGAGCCCCACGGCCAAGACGCCCGACGACGCGTACGCGCCGAGTGCTACCCTGGCAGGGCCTCCAGACGCCCCGTCCTTCCCTGGCGATGTGCAGCCGGAGCCCGCGACGCCATCAGTGACGGAGCGGCCGCCGGACGTGTCCAAGGCCGAGGACAAGTCGATGCCGCCGCCGGCGCCCCGCGACCACAAGCCTAGCGAGTCCTACTTCCAGGTGTCGCCACCCCCCACGCCCACGCACGACCTGACGCTGTTCCTGCAGTACAAGTCCAAGGTGAAGAAGTTCGTGCTGCCCGAGGGGCGGGACGAGCTGTCTATCGGCCGGCTGCAGCTGGCGTTTATCGAGAAATTCTCGTGGAGCACGCAGCAGAACGGCGCCGATCTGCCCGAGATCTACATCCAGGACCCCGTGTCGGGGGTGCGGCATGAGCTCGAGGACCTGTCGGACGTCAAGGACCGCACGGTGCTGGTGCTCAACGTCGAGCCCCTGGACGAGGTCAAGCGCCACATTGATGATGGCATGTCGGCCCTGACCAAGATCGTGCGGGAGGTGAAGCAGAACGTCGACGACCAGAACGTCGCCCTGCAGCGCGTGTCAGACCGACAGCAGGAGGCTGCCAAGGAGCTGTCAAGCTTCCTGGCCAACCCGCCGACGGCGACGGTGACGGTGTCGTCGCCTCCGGCAGACGGCTCGAGGCCCGGGACGATGCACGGGCGCAAGCTGCGTCATGACCAGAAGAGCGAGCTCCAGAGCCTGCGGCGGGACCTGGCAGTCGTGCGACAGACGTACAGCAACTTCCAGGCGGAGGTGCAAGCCTCGATGGCGAGCGTGCGGCAGAAGGCGGCCAAGGTGAAGGCGGTGGTGGCCAAGGCGGGCGCGCCGGACATGGAGGGCGACGCGGGCTACTCATACGTGTCCAGGGGCCGCAAACAGATGAACTCTGACTCGGACCGTCTGGTGGGCAAGGTCGACGACCTGCAGGACCTGGTGGAAGACTTGCGCAAGGACGTGGTGCACCGGGGAGTGCGGCCGCTGCCGCGCCAGCTGGAGGGGGTGTCGGTGGAGATTGCGGGGCTGACCAAGGAGCTGAAGCGCATGGAGGGCTTCCTGGGCCACGAGAAGCCGCTGTGGACCAAGATCTGGGAGAAGGAGCTGGAGGACGTGTGCCAGGGCCGCGACGAGCTGCGGCTGATGGAGGAGCTCCTGGTCGACCTGCGGGACGACCTGGAGAAGGCGTCGGAGACGTTGGTGCTGGTGGAGCAGGCGACCAAGGAGCAGTCCAAGGACGACGGCACGGGGGCCAGCGCCGGTAACGCGCGGCAGTTTTCGCGCGGCCTCGAGAACCTGGGCAACAGCCTGGACCCGACGGCGGCCAAGGAGGGCGTGCTGGGCGAGGTGCGCGCGCTGCAGCCCAACCACGAGAACCGGCTCGAGGCCATCGAGCGCGCCGAGAAGCTCCGGCAGAAGGAGCTCTCGGGCCGCAACGACAACCTCCTCCAGCAGGAGATCAGAAACTTTGTCAGCGCCGGCAAGCTCAAGAAGTCTGGCGGGTTCGAGGAGGTTGAGAGGTCAAGACAGGCCAAGGACGACAGGATACGCAGGGAGGTGTGGCAGCAGATGAATGGCGGTCTGGACGACGATGAGGAGTACGAGGAGTACGAGGAGGACGAGGAGGGAGAAGAGTACGAGGATGTGACCGAGGGTGGCGCAGATGCGACGACGGGGAATGAGAAGGAGGGATCTATCCAGGCCTCCGGAGATCCCGCCAAGGATGTCAAGGATGCGTAAGAGAGATTTCTCGTTTCCTCTTGGCTTCTTCTGCTACATAGCTTTTTCCTCGGGCGGACTGCATCCACCCCCCCCCCCCCCCCCTTCCTCGGAGGTTTCTACACACATCCTCCCTATACGATGATGTTGGGGTACCAGCATCAGTTTTCTCATCATCTTATGTGGTTGTCACGGCTTTCAAAGCCCCTGCCTTGGATGAGATTTGTATGATGGATCAAAGAAAGAAAGACGATTGATTTGACATGCAATGAAGTCTTGGGTTTTATCCTTCTTTTGCTTTTCGTCTTACCTGGTGTTTTCATTCCTTTATTTATATCTTATCTTTGTTCTTGATGTCTCTTTCTGAAAAACAAAAGGCATTTGTTCATTAATTTTGAATCCTGCCATGGCCTTTTTTTTTCAATTCTACATATTCGTAGTAAATCAATGGAACCCAACAACGCCTCGTCTCTCGTGTTAGAGATGCCTATACGAGCATACCAACTTCCAATTGAGATTCGATCTCTCATTATAAGAAACCCGAATACATGTCCACAGCTAGGACAGATAATAATATGACATGGCGTGTTGGAGATGATGTAGAGGGTGATGATGTTCTGCTTACGTCCTATAGATGCGTGTACTTTGGAGTATTGATCTCACCTCGACGAATGCTTCGCAATGACTCCTGCAGTGAGCAGCCTGCATCATTTCTTGCACCCCCGCCTCTCGAAGCTCCTCCCCCCGTCATGCGGCACAGAAGTTCTTCTCCCTCGGTCTACTGTATATATATATATATATATACATATATATATATGCATGCACATGTTCGGACACTTCCACCTCACCCCAGGCATGTCCATTTGCCGCCCGATTCAGACAATCAGCTGCGGCCGCCTCCCGGCTGGTCCGCTCATATCGCTGTTTTTTTCCCTCCGCGTCCCATCTGTTCTCCAGACGTTATGGTAGGCCAGGTGGAGTTAGCCCGAACTGAAAGCTTGGATGGCAAAGGTCACCCTTTAACCCCTTCCTTTCCCGTTTGGATATTGCCACCATGTATTTCCGCTCGGCGGCTCACTTCTGATGAACTGAAAGTCAGCCTCCTCGCTTTCGAACCTGCTCGTCCTTTAGGGTCGGCGCAGAGTTTCCACACACTCGATATATCACTTGTCCCCGCCGTCTCGACAGAACATGGCTCCCTAGCGGACGATGGAGGAAACAAAGCAGTCACGGCCTACTGAGGTCGAAAGGTTCATCGTCGACGCATCACAAGAGGCCCTGCGGTCCGAGGGTGAGGCCGATGCTAGCAATCAAACCAGTGCTCCCCACCCAGGAGGGCTCAATCTCCGGGGAAGACTTTCCAGGGGAGCGCATGAGGTGGCTGTCACGGGCGTCGACCGTGGCGTCAGCTTCGTATCAGCTCTTGATCGGATGAAGGCATGGATTCGGCCCTTGGCGAATCATGTTCTGAGACAGCCTTGCATGGAAGGGCTCTATCAGTTTGCCTGAACAGTGGCAAATGAAAAGGCCGGACTACTCTCGCTGTCATTCCTCAAGGACTCCTTAGGATGTCTTACATGCCAAAGACGGAGATGAGCGAGGAAATCTCGCCAGCTCGCGGACTCTGCTTGATGATGTGCTGGGAGGACAAGATCCATGTCTGGATAGTGGATTTTCCGTTGGCAAAAATCTCGGTGGCTGTCGCCCAGGTCCCTGATAAGAACATCGCAGAGGGTGACATCCTCTTCATGAAGCAGGGACATGTAAGTCGCCGGTGGCATATTCGTCTCGCTCATGAAGGTGCAGACCTGGCTGATGGAAGAGGGAACGGTACTCGAGCTCTTCCACACGCTCTCTGAGAACCATGGCAGGATGGAAATAGGACGGACGACGAGGCGTACGCATGGGTCAGTGGGCTCTCATGAGAGACTTTGGCACCGTACCACACACGACGTTCGGTATCAGGTTGGAGCATGTCATATGTTGGTTGCTAGGGCTGGAGCATGTCAGAGATACCATCCCGTCTCCACGGATTTTTGGCCGCTATCCGCTCCCATAGACGTCTAGGAGCGGTCAACAGCGGATTGATATCAAAATGTACATGCAGAGGTGTGGCCGGCCTTTGACACCTGGGCTCCGTCTGCCTGTCTCAACATCTCAATAGCTGAACCGCTGTTCTCTCGTCCCGCTGAGGTCATGGCCTGGAGGTGAGTGCAACTAATAGTGGGTGACCAGATTTATCAATGTAATGATAGATCATTTGATGATGGCACACGTCTAGTACTGGCATCGGTTGATGTCATCATATCGCATCACATGATCTCCATCCATCATAACCGACCATGATGTAGATGACGGATTGACTAGAACAGACGCCGATCATGCCAACTTTCTCCCTGTTCACAAGAAAAGAGCGGGAACATAAATGATGCAAACAGGTATAGGCAGGTCGGAAGCGTATACATCTATCTGCTCTCTCTTCAAGTTCCTTGATAGCGCGAGGCAAACAGGTTCTAGTCAGAAAACCCTTGACCCCCCCCCCCTGGTTCCCTCGATGACGACAGCATTCTCTCCCCAAGAATGAAAAGTATCATTCTAGCTCCAATAAGTGAGGGGTTTGCAGCACCTCAAATGTATTACGACTCCGAAAGGAATGTCGTGCGCTTCGTGTGGCGTCATCGATATATGGATTCAATCGTCCCGTTCCACCGTTTCCTTCACTGGCAGTACGAGAGAACTACGTGCAACATGCAATATTATACATACAGTACAAGCCCCCGCGTCTAGATTGGCCTACGTATACGAAGATAAAAGAAGCCTTTGGCGGAGGGGGGTAATATCATCTATGATACATAATCAGGCTGTCATGATGCTGCCACAGACCAAGCCTGTTGGTTTCCTGTCACTGGGGGCTAGACGTATTAGATCGACTGCATCGGCATGCGTTCTTGGTCGTACTTCGATGAGAGTATATATTGCCAGAGGCAGTTCTTACCAAGGGCCTGTCAGCCACCAAAAGCCTCTCAGCCCAACAAGTTCCATCATCAGAAGTTATTCTACAATGTCCAACACCAGCAACCTTTCTAGCCAGTCGCTCTTTGACCTCTCTGGCAAGGTCGCACTTGTCACCGGTTAGTTCACGCAGAGGCTCCCCCCACCCGGCGGTGAATTCGAAGCTCGGCAACGTGGAAATTCCATCTTCTGACATCAGCTCCGCTACTGCAGGCGGCGGCTCCGGCATCGGGCTCATGGCAGCCCAGGCCCTGGCGGCCAACGGCGCCAAGGTGTACATCTGTGGCCGGACGCAGGAGAAGCTGGACCGAGCTTCAGACACCCACGGCCAGGATGCAAAGGGCACCTTGATTCCGATCCAGGCCGACATCACCAAGAAGGAGAGCATAGCGGCCCTCTCTGACGAGATCAAGTCGCGGGAGAAGTCTCTCAGCATCCTCGTCAACAACGCCGGCATCGACGGGGAGTCCTTCCCCGTAGCCGAGAGCAAGTCGGCCGAGGAGCTCAAGAAGAACCTGTTCGACGACTCCAGAGCGACGTTTGACGACTGGACCAACGTTTACCGGACCAACGTAGCCGCCACATACTTCACCACCACGGCCATGCTGCCGCTCCTCCAGGCCTCCACCGACAACCACCCTGGCTGGTCGGCCACGGTGGTCAACATCACCTCCATCTCCGGCATGGTCAAGACGTCGCAGCACCACTTTGAGTACAACGCCTCCAAGGCGGCGGCCGTCCATCTGACGCGTATGCTGGCGTCCGAGGTGGCGGATGCGGGACTCAAGATCCGCATCAACGGAATCGCCCCCGGCGTCTTCCCCAGCGAGATGACGACTGGTGGGAGCGACGAGAAGCAGAAGAGTGAGATCGAGAAGCAGAGGTACCAGGACAGAATTCCAGCCCGACGTCCGGGAAAGGACGAAGACTTGGCCCAAGCAATGCTCTTTGCTGCGAGCAACCAGTACGTCAACGGCGAGACGATAGCTGTAGATGGAGGTTACCTCCTCTCCGCGGGGAGGTGAGATGGTCTGCTGTAGTAAATAATCTAATGGAGAGCGAGGGGGGTGGATGTAATCCCACGATGAAAGAGAGATGATCTTGAAAGAAATTGGGGTTTATAAAAGAAGAAAAATAAAAATAAAAATAAAGATATTTTTCCGGATGAAGCTGCAAAATGTGCAAAGGCACATGGAATATCTACAGACTTACACAACTACCTCCCAAAATCAAAGCGACCGTTCAACCAGCCAGTCAACCGACGCATCCTTGGTGATTAGGAACATTTCATATCTCACACAACTCCAACACGGCATGTAACCAGTCACTGAACAAAACCAGGTATATGATGAAGATTGCCACTCCCTGACACACACTCACTCTCGAATGCATCCTACATGCATCGTAACATGTAATGACTATTGGAGCTCGTTGTGGCCGGTGACGTCTTAGATCCGGATACATGCTCTACAGAAGAACGATAAAACACCAAAAGCAACACAGGATCGAACCAAGACATGACGAGAAGAAGACAACGAACTAGGGTATTGACCTGCGACGTTTCTCACAGAATAACATTACTGCTGCTATCAGCTCCTTCCAACGCAAAGCTCATGATGGAACCCTTGCCTCTGACCAACGAAACAGCAGGAGAGCCGGTATCTACCGAGAACAAGATCCTGACAACAGGCTCTTCAATAGGACAGGTGAATCCTTTCTTGGCCTTTTCTTGGCCTTCCGCATTTGCGTCTAATACGGATTGTGACATGGCCGCTCTGGCAGACGGCGTGCTGACAATGCGTAGAGCTTCAAACCAATCCACAACATCTGCGCGCATCTCAACGCCTTCCACGCATATGCCGACGAGCCTTCCAGGGCAGTAGAAGCGAACCACTACTGCGCCCATGTCAGTACGTGAAACCGTCCATCCTCTTCATTCTTTTCTTTTTTTTGCCGTTTCCAGTCTCCCCAGCCACGTGCTTACTTGTCGCTCCCGGAATTTGCAGACGACGAAGTGCGTCAGTGCCTGCTCTACGACTCGGCAGAGAAGAACGCTCGCCTGATAGGCATCGAGTACATGGTGTCTCCGCGGATATACGAGTCGCTCCCCGCCGAGGAGCGCAAGCTGTGGCACTCGCACGTCTTCGAGGTAAAGTCTGGCATGCTCGTCATGCCCAATGCACTGCCCGTTCCAGCGGCCGCCTGGGAGCTGGCCGAGAAGCGCGAGATGGAGCAAGTCATCGAGCTCTACGGAAAGGTCTACCACCTCTGGCAGACGGACCGGGGTGACAAGGTCCCCCTCGGTGGTCCGAAACTCATGACCAGCTTTACCGCCGACGGGCAGCTCGACTTCGACCTCGTCGCGGAGCGAGACAAGAGATTCGGCACCGACCACCAGCTCAAGAAGGCGTCGAGGAAAGACATCCCGTCGCCCCGAGTACATCCTGGTAAGCATGCACCGCGCGCGCGTAAGCGTTTGGTTGCTTCCCTATTCTTTTCTTTCATCTGGCTTACACGTCGTCCCAATAGACGCGGACATGGCCTGGTCGCCTTGATGGCGGCCGACAAGGGGCCGCTCGCTTAAAGCGAGAGGAACAGCAAAACCGCCAACATGTTCCACAATTCAACGCAACGGGACGTCCATGTCGCAATGCAGCATGGTTCACACAATTTTGGGAGGCGCTTAGATGTACAGGTAGTTTCAGGCCAGCTGCGCATGGAGGTAGACCGACTGCATCGCACGTTTTGAGGCAATGACTAGCCCCGTCATAACCGCCGTTCCGCTCCGCTTTTCCCTGCAACTCGCATTGGACTTGTACGCGCCCATGTTCTTCATGAGTCTCGACTCTCAGTTATCAATAGAACGTGTACGATTAGTCGAAACTCGAATTGGGTATAAAAAGGAGGCTCATCGAGCTCTTTCTCGCAGTACAGGTTACACAGCATCGAAATCAAATCTTCATCACGCAACTTACACAACATATCTGAATCGCATCAACCGTCCACTGTACTACTTGACAAACGGCATCCATTGGCATCATCAAAGTCATGTCAGACCCTCGAAAGTATACCATTGGCTGGATCGCGGCCCTAACGTCTGAAGGCGTCGGCGCAGAGATCTTCCTCGACGAGAAGCACGAGTCTCCCGGGCGTCCTTCGCGCGATGACAACAACTACACAGTAGGCCGGATCGGCAGGCACAACGTCGTCATCGTCACGCTCCCGGACGGGGAGTACGGGACGGCCGCGGCGGCGAGCGTAGTCGTTGACATGGTGCGCACCTTTGTCAACGTGAACGTCTGCCTCATGGTCGGGGTTGGCGGGGGCGCCCCCTCAAAGCGGCACGACGTACGACTCGGTGATGTCGTCGTCGGGGTCCCCAGTGGCGGCGTGGAGGGCGTGGCCCAGTACGACGTCTGGACCGGCATGCAGACCGGGGTTTTTCAGAGGGCGAAGCGCCTGAACCAGCCGCCGCCGATCCTGACCGCCGCCGCCAGCAGCCTCCAACGGGCTACCAAGGGCAGGCTGAGCCTTGTCCTGCAGAACGACATTGACGGGGCCCTCGATAAGATCTGGCGGCGCAAGAAGTACACGCGCCCCCCGCAAGCAACCGACAGGCTGTACAGGTCAACCTTCGAACACGTGCGGGACCCAGGATCCCTCTGCGACAGCTGCGATGCGTGCGGGGGCCACCCGGCCTCCTTGGAACTCCGGAAGGAGAGACGCGGAGAGGATGCCAACGCGCCCGTCGTCCATTATGGGCTCATTGCTAGCGGCAATGCACTCATTAGGAATCCCCACGTGCGCGACGAGCTGGCTCGGTCCAAGGGTGTGGCATGCTTCGAGATGGAGACGGCTGGTATCGCAAACTATGTCCCCTGCCTCGCCATACGCGGCATCTGCGACTACTCCGATTCGCACAAGAACAAGAACTGGCAGGGCTATGCTTCCATGGCGGCGGCGGCGTACGCCAAGAATCTCATACTCCATATTGGATCCGATAGGGCCAGTGTACCCGTCACCCGTGTGGGTAGGCACTGACCTGACGCTTCAGTCCGTTGGTAGATATGTATACATCCTTGCTTGTTTTGCTTCTTCTGTTTTGCTTCTGTTCTGTTCTGTTCAATTGTTCAACGCCAGGAGATGCCTATCCCTTTCGAGGACAAAGGGGTCCGAGGTAGATGCGTATATATGTTACGGCTTGCGAGGAGAGCTGCAGGCAGCATTCCTAGATCCCATCTGATATCAATACATACTTTCGCGCGCATTCCCCTCATCACTTTCCATGGTGTAGTTTCGAAGGATTCAAGAGGAGATGGAGCCCATGGCTCTCGCGTTTCCATACGATGCATCTATATTCTAATTTCCAACATACAACCAACTAGTGCGAATCGAAACTGCCTTCTCACGCCCCGAGCAACGACAGCTTCTCAAACTTGGCAACAACAGGGGGCGCAACGTCGAGGCCCTGCGACCGCACGAACTCGTGGAACACGGCTTCCCCGCCACCTGTAGCGGGTGCCCAAGCTGCATCGTTTTGCGGCGATTCGCTGCCGTTGGGAGCCTGTGCCTGTGCCTGCGCCTGCGGGAAGACGGCCTGGACGGCACGCTCACACGCAGCCACGACATCAGCCATGAGCGCCTCCGCCGACCTCGCACGCTCGGGCATCCCCCTTCTCGCGAGGGCAAACACAAGCCTTTCGACCTCTGGCTTCGCACCCGTGACGCGGTCGACCAGTCGCCGCAGACTGTTGACGAGGTACTCCTCCTCGTAGACAGTGCCCTTGCGGCCGCGTGCGCGCTTCTTCTCCTCGCGACGGCGGTTCTTGCTGGTTGCGCGGCTGACGCCGGTCCCTAGCGTGCCGGCGCTGACGCCCGATCCTTTGCCGGTGTACCGCGTGAATAGACTGGCCGACGTGCCTGCGCCGAGACGGGAGCTCGCGGCGACGGATACGTCGTCGGGGACGTCGCCGCCCCCAGCGCGCTCGCCCTCGAAGAAGGATAGGGGGTCCTCGGCCGCCTTGCGGCGGAGCTCGGCCACGCGGGGGACCTGGGCGCCAAGCTGAGAGCGGCAGTCGGCCAGGAACTCGGTTGTACTGCCCAGAGCCTCGGCAAGGCCAACGTCCACTGCTGAGACGAGGAGGTCGGCGCGGTTCCGCTGTACGACCAGCCGCATCGCCTCGGCAAAGTGGTATCCCTTGCACAGGCAGCGTACTGCTGCCTCCAGAGAGTCGAGGTGGTCGAGGTGGATTGTCGCCGCGGCGGCGTAGTCCTTTGCTTCCCAGAGAGCCTCGGCCAGCGTGGTCGAGAGCTCGTTCATGGCGTCTGCCGAGGGCGGAGGGATTTGCTGCTGTGCGGCAAACAGGCACTCCTGCCAACACGTGGCGCCCGTAGCGCGGTAGCAGCTCATCGCCTTAGTGAAGTTGTGCAACGATTCGTACGCCAGACCGGCCTCGCGGTACGCAGACTTCGACTCGAGGTAGGCGGCGTAGAGGCCCATGATGGTGTTGTGCCGCGCCTGGTCGTACCGGTACAGTCTCAGGGCGTCGCCATACAGGAGGTGCTTGGAGGCGTAGGCGCACAGCTCGTCAAAGGCGTCGAGGGACTGCAAGTGCAGTAGCGCCTTTTTCTGGCGGCCCAGGTGGTCGTCAATCTCAAACTTCCGCCGCAATTCAGGCAGCTCGTGCAGCTTCTGCATGAAGGGGAGGTACTCGCGGGGGTCACGCTGCGACTGCTGCGCCACCAGCAGTGCGAGGTCGAGATTGTACAGGCCCAGTGCATGATCGTACAGCCGATTCACATCCACGAGGAAGCAGATGTGTTCCACAGCATTTTCGGCAAGCTTTTCATCTTCCCTACGCAGCTCTGCCACGAGGCTGAGACCGTCCTCGAGTGCTGGCGGGTCCTTGCACACGTGGGCTGTGATTATGTTCTGCAGGTGCCTGGCCTTGCGGGGTTGGAGGGCCTTGAGGAGGGAGTCGCAGACGGTGTTGACCTTGGACAACGTCGGCTTGGCGGTATCCGTCAGACTGAACTCGGGTCCGCTGGGAAGGGCGGCGGTGGCGGCCACCTCCTTCTTTGAGCGCTTCGTGTCCTTGTACATCGTCTGCGTCACATCCTCCTCTCTACGATAACCATATTAGAAAAGGCAGAAAATGCTTGATAACATCTCATGGAATGAACATACCGAAGTCCGGAGAGGAACAGGTCAATGTTGGAGATCTCTTTGAGCTGGTCCAGGAATAGACCAACATTCTCCAGAAACTGCTGGGGTTTGTGGTCATAGAGAATGTTCATATCAACACGTTGGGTGCGGCAGTACGAGAAAGCGCGGCCGTAGTTCTTCTCCTCGATGAGACTGCGGATACCCGCGACGACCATTGCACGTGGGAAGATGGTCTCCAGGTTTCCTCTGGGCATCTGTAGGATGACGCTCATGTTTGTGGGGATGGCGGTGACGATGCGGGAACCGCGCTCGACGCTACGGCAGCGCTCGTCGATTTCTGGATCATCCTCTGGGACTTCGAGTCCTAGAAATAGTACAAATTAATATTTCCTTTAGAACTGTGTAAAACAAAAACAAACAAAACAAACAAAAAAACAAAAAGGAGATGGTCCCCTTACCCTCCGCGTCTGAATTCAGATGAACAAACTTAATAAGGTGGTTGTTGGTAGTAAAGATAAGATGGCTCGGCGTCAGGATGAAAGAAGTGCAGTTCTTGGCCAGCAGCTTCGAGTTGGCATACAGATGACCATTGCGCGACAGACCAAAGGCCACCAATTCCCCGTCGACCTTGGCTATCTCGAACAGCGGGAGGAGGATGCGGAATTGCATATGCAGCAGCTGATTCCCGTTATGAGACAGGCGATACAGCTTGCCACTGCGATCCTGCGCGTAACCCTCTACCGCATCCTTATTGTCGTCCTCGTACGTGGCCGTGGCAACGAGAGTATGGTGGTCGTCAAGGAGTGTCATCCTCTGGACTCGATCCTCTCCGAGACTGACACCCAGTTGCAGATACCCCAGGCCGTCCTGGTAGTTCATACAGTGGAACTCGCCAATGGAACTGCAGCACAGGCGCAGGGCAACGTGGTACTCTGGGATATTGTACGTCTCAAAGGGGACCTTGGCTTTGAGCTCTGGCTTGAGGAAACGGCCATCGGTTGGGTTGCGGACCCAGTCGAAGATGTCAACACCCTTATGGTGCAGGACAGCAATGGTCTGGTTGCGCCGACCGAATGCAACGTCCACGGCCGCTGACTCGAGCGCGAGGTCGAACAAGGCCATGGGCGGCGGCACATTGGCACCCCTGTAAGGTGTCAGCTTGACCACATCACCGTCGATGACGGCAACGGCGCCGTTATCGTGGGGCATGCGGGTCGACCCCCTGGCCGTGTAGAAGACATTCTCGGCGGAGATGACAGTGTCGGACGAGGCGGCGACGAAGCGCAGCGCCTTCTCCGGGTGCCACGACAGCGACACAAAGTCGGGGTCCATGGGAATCTCCTGTTTCAGGTACCAGTGGTAGTTGCCCATTGTCCACAGCTGAACGAGGTTGTCGAGCACCACGGCCAGCACGGTGGAGTCAGTGTTCCACTCGAGGCATATGCGCTTCTGCTCCGGGACAGGAGTGGACGACTCGGGAGAGCGTAGGGTAAATTGTCCATGGCGCAGGCCGTTGCGCTCAAAGAAGACGACGTCGACACGCTCCGTCCCGATACGCTGTACCGACGCAAGGAGGTTGCCCGCGGGTCTCCAGCTCAGTGTGCTCTCCATCCCATCGACGGGCTCGCTAGCACCGTCAAGCTCGCCCTCGCGGGAGTAGACGCGGATGACCCTACGCTCACCCTCCTGGACGGCGTTGATGGCGACAAAGGCTCCGTCGCCGCGCCAGCTGACCGTCACCTTTCCGTCTTCATAGCTGCTGGGTAGACCAGAGTCGACTCTCTCGGGGATGGTGGGGTCACGCATGGCCTTTGCGCCGCGGCCCTGGAACTGCGTCTCCTTCTTTCCCCAGCCGACCGAGACATGCTTGGACGCTCGCAGGTCGTCGACCGTCATGCTCACCTCAGCTACCGGGTCAAAGGTGCTGCCCATGAAGAGGACCGAGTTGGCCTTGGTCACGATTACGAGGAGCTCTTGGTCCGGAGACCAGGCAGCCGCGGCAATTCCGTCGTCGATGGATCCCATTATTTCGATCTGGGCGCCGCCACCACCGATGTCCTCCTGCACCGTGACGATGTCGCCGCCCTCGAGGACAAGGCATGCGGTGCCTGTGCCGCTCAGGTACTGCAGATTCACAACCTTGTCGACCATCAGGTCGGGGCTGGGACTGGGTGCATCCCAGTTGGCCACCGTAACATGCGAGCTGGGATTGATGTGAGCTGGCGATGCCCCCCTTAAGGATGAGATTCAAGTTTAGGTAGCAGTGAAACTGACATGTCATGACCTTCAGAGACACGGACAAGCTCAATTCTGGAGCTCTGCGACGTGGGACCAACGGTGCACAGTATGCCGTCCTTCTCCGAGTCCCAGCAGACAGATGTGATATCTTGGTGCCGCCAGCGGCCAAACCAGAGGTTGCGTAGATTGCGCATGAGTGCGCCTTCAGAGGATGAGGGGCAGCACCTGCTTTGACATGGGGGGTCAAGCCCGCCCAGAAAAAAAAGGATGAGAGAGGAAGCCGCTGTTGAGGTGGTTACTTTACTTTATGCGCAAAATTCTTATCTTATCCCACGAATATCCCAGGAGGAAAAAAAAAGGGTAAGTTATTCGTCGTGGTGCTGTTTTTTTATATCTGGATGTTGGTGGGATGGTACGTGAGGTCAGTCTCGAGAATTTTCCGCCCCACCACTAGCGCGGAAAGCTCAATGGTGGTGGTGGTAAGAAAAGATACTTGAGGGGTCAGCATCAATAGGTCACATCGCCCCTATAATGAGCGAGATAGTGACATTGAGTACCCCGGATATCAAGTATCCGCCTACTCCAGCGCCTAATGCCTAACGATATGGATTGTACAGTGCCCCCCCACACACATTGACAGAACCGCATCTTTACCAACTCACCTTCTCATCAGCGAGGAAAATAAGAGATATAGAGCAAACCGTAGTCACGGACATGCTAGTTTTGGAAAATTACCCATGGGTCCAACACTACGGTTATGTGTCCACTGGTCAGATCTGGTGGTTCTAGCCTGCTTCAGCATCCCTTTCACAAACAGAGCAATTGTCGCCAGAACCTCGGCAGCAGCCACCTAACCCCCTACCCACACTATTATCATTGGCCAGCAAACACAAAGGTTGGCTCAAGCCTTTGCCAGGAATTCTGGACAAATATCAAGACGAGCAGGTGCTAACACATCAATACACTGTATGAGTACATATATTAGTCTGCAGTAATATCCGGAGAAGAAGGTTGGTGGGGCATATGCCGCCCTCCACAATCTTCCCCAACAATTGAAGTGCCAAGTTAAGAAGAGCTACGAGCGCCGAGTACCGAGGACGGGAGTACTCGTACATGCAATAGTAGCTCGAGCTTTACCTGTACGAGTAGGTCGGCATGCTCTTCTTGTATTGATTACCTGTTTTTGCCGTGACAAGTTGCGTGCAAAGCGTGCTAGTTCGTCCTTCCCTTTCCCCTCCTCACCAGACTCATATTTCCCCATCCCCAGCCTCCCTTTCCCCGGTGGCTCATCATCTTCATTGTCATCAATCAATACTTCCTCTCATCCAGTACTATCCATCAACCAGCTCAGCTGTCGTACGATTACCTGCAGGGGGGCCAGCCACCATGGACTTACCCGTCAACCCTCTCCACGCCGAGCGCGCCCGTCGAAAGAGCCGCTCCTCCACCAACCTCAATCACCTGACCCTGGCGCCCCTGACGACCAAAATGCCCTTCACCGGCCACGACCAAAGCGGCGGCGTTTACGATAATGACGCTGCCGGTACCCGCGCTCACGCGACGATCAGCACGTCCTACATTGAAGGACGATCAGCCCCTACGACACCGCGCCTGCTATCGCGCACACCAGGCATCGGCCCCCGATCACACTCGCACCACCGCACAGCCTCCGCCTCGGGACAAGGAGGTCCCGTGACGAAGAGCAAGTCGACGACGCAGCTCCATCAGAAGTCCAGAACGCCGGGGGCCACCACACCCAAGCGACGAGCAGGGCCCAAGGACAGTGACAGTGACAGCGACTGGCTCTTCCGCACTGGCGCCTTGATAAGCACCGAGGCGCGCGAGTTCAAGGGTCAGGCATGGCTTGTATCACGGCAGAGCTCGACGAGCCTAGTAAGCATGAAGGACGAGGGCGATGACCGAGACTTCGAGCGGGAGCTGGACGAAGAGAAGGACGCGGGCAGCAGCCGGCGAGGCAGCTCGGCGGCTGCATCCGACCATAATGGCCATCACGGCAAGTTGCCGATGCGCGGGAGCCGTCTGACCAGTAGGGCTAACAGCGCTACACGACGGAGTTCACTCGCCTCGCCGATGCCGACACTCACCGACAGCCACGAGGATTCCTACTTTGGCTCTGCCGCCGTCGACGACGACGACAGCGTGCACCAGCAGGGCCCGGACTTTATCAACCTAGATGAGAGGCTAGAGCAGCTCGGTGGTGTTGACGGCGATTGTGGTCTGCAGGACGACGAGGCGGCCGTGAGACGTTTGGTGCGTCGTGGAAAAGCCGATAGGGGCACATGGCTCAGCAATGTCTTTGGTTGGACCCTGTTTTCTGTCGAGGAAGATGAAGATGACGAAGAAGGGAGTGAAGAAGATGAAGAAGAAGAAGAAGAAGAAGAAGAAGCGGGTGAGGAGGATGAGGGGCGGTCGAAGAAGCTGGCAGGGCGGAGTAGTTGGGCGGTACGGCATTTCGAAGGGGTGTCTAATGCGCCTGATGAGAGAATTGACCCTCCAAAAGGAGAGGAAGGGCCGTGGGGAGATGCAGCTTGGCTTCTGAGCGTGGCTACAAAGGTCATGTTCTAACATGGATAAGTCAGTATTATTAAGATTACTCATTACTTTCTCTACGCATAGGCTCTTGCTCCCAGCTTCGTTTCATATTGTGCAAGATCAACCCACCATAGTTGATTCGGGTACTTGTTGCATATGCAGGCGTCATCATATATTACATCTACGGCTTGCGTGATAACTCGACTGAGAGGGAAATCAAAGAAAGGTGGTAAGATAAGAATGCCTAAGGGTGCTCGTAGCGGGGACTCGTAAGTAAAGCGGGAGAACAATGAGGAAAAAGAAAAAGAAAGGATAGAAGCGGAATAGAGAGAAGCGGAAAGGGAGAACAAATAAATCGGGGACGTTTTTATTTCTGCAGGAACTTGTGGGCTGCGACCCATGGACGAAAAGGGTCGAGGCGAGATGTTTGGTCGAGTTGGGAGTGTGTGGGTTTTATCGCCATACGGGTAAATTGCTTACGACAGCTCTAAGAAAAAGAGGAAGAGTGGGATCGGCCAAGGATAGTAGTGGCGAGGAAAGAGGAGATTTTTCAAGCGAGAGAAATATGTTGTCGCATTCGTATCTGATGACTCCCGTTGAGAAAGCGAGAGAGGGGAGGGGGGAGAGATTGATCACGACCCTCTCCTCCTTCCCATTCCCAGCACACAGTGGAGGAAGAGGTGTTCTCCCCTCGCCTACCCCTTCCCCCTTCTGACACACAAACACGCGCACACTCCGTCCACGTATCTGTCTGGTCCTGCGTCTATGCATGATATATATATATATGTATGTATGCTTCGTCGGGCGAGGTCCGAAGAGATGTTTTGGTTCTCTGGTGGCACGGACGTGGGTGGGGGGCACCGCCGCAAGTAGAATGACGTCACTCTTTTCCGGGCGGCGCCGAACAGTAGTATTGGTAGGAAACAGGGGAGGGGGGAGGGAGGGGGGGTTAGTGAAGCGGGAACGGAAGAGGGCATGCTATTAATACTTGGGGGGGTACGGGAAGAAGAGGGGATAACCTCCTACTCCATAAAGAATAACATCATGCTCGGTATGCCCGATTTTGAAGCACCCTTGGGCCGTGGCTAGGCCAGCTCTGGTTCCTGCCGTGGCAAGCATAGACGTGATTTCTCTCTGTCCACGTTTAACCAAAAAGGAAGCTAGCGAGTTCTGTGGTCTGGCGGGTCTCGCTCAGTCTTATTCCCTGACGGAAAAATTGGGCTGAGTTTCGGCCGTTATTGCTGCTGGTTCTCCGCTCATGTTTGTGTTTTGTTTTATGTTTCCATGTTCTTACAGTATTATTATAAATCTCAGCTTTTCTGCCCCTTGAGTTCGTTTTTCGGAGGACCGTTTCATGCACGGTACCCTTCTGCATGCCTGAAACTGTCAATGATGCCTACGTAGACGCACGCACAGGATGATGCGTCGGGCGGCAGTCTATCGGCTGCACGGGGTTCTGCACGCCTAATCGTACAGCGGTATGACCGCTGAGTCGGGGCATGGGCTTGTACTCTACTTTTCTTAGTTAGCGGCGGCACCTTGACATCCCGGGCTCTGGACCAGCTGAAGATGCAAATCCGGCAGTGGGCAGGTGCGCGGGCTGTGGCCTTTTTGCACGGTACGTGCAGTGGGCTTTGGAAAGATGAGGGGCAGATTTAGAGGGGTCAAGGGGGGCAGTGAGAGTAAGGCCAAAGAAAGGGTACGATATTGCCCACGAAGAGAAAATAAGAGTAAAAGAAAGAGAACGTGTCGTCCCAACATATACGAATACTAGTCGGTGATTCTAGCAGAGGTATTAGTGGTGATACAAGAGCCGGGGTATGATAGCGATGCTCTGCTATGATAGGCCTCCCCGACCGGTCAAGAGATGGATGCTACCCAAACACCTGCAATGGGTTGTCAAATTACTCTATTAGAGGATGCATGATTAGACAAGTCAACGTCGACGGCTTCAAGTTTCTACCATAAACACAGGAAACTAGCGGCGCTGACAGCAATGCTACTCTATATCACAGATTCTGCATGAAACTCCTGTAAATGTCATCATCCCGGATCAGCAAAATATATGGTTTTCCTATATGTAATAATATAATCCTCCGTCGTCATCCCTTCCTTACCAAAGTCCTCAAAACTGATGGTGTCGAACCAAGTTTACCTTTCTCTCTCCCCCCCCCCCCCCCCCCCCCCGCCCCCTGCTCCTGCCCCTCATCAGCGCTCCTTCCGTCTTTGCTTTTTTTTAAAGGTTCCATCATCACCCCTCCTTCATCCTCTTCCATTTCTTTCTATCCAAAAGAGGACAACTTCCATATTTCAGCTGGCCCTACTTCAGCAAGGACAGGTAAGGACAGGACCTCGTCTCTATCGTCCTCGACGTGCACGCAAACTCGGCGAAGATGGGGAAAATGTGATAGAAGAAAAAAACAAAGTCTGGCTTCTAGACCGTTTTTACTCCACCACCCACTACTAGTACCTCCTCGCTAGGAAAAAGAAACACACACATTACACACGGAAAGAAGAGAGCGAAGAAAAAAGACTCGCTCATCACATGCTCCTCTCCTTGATCCCCACCACCAACGTAGCCCAGGTTGCAACCACCCATTCGAAAGCCCTGCCTCTCTCCGACTAGACCCCATCGCTGTCTCATTCGCACCCCTGCTCGTTGGCTACGTCTTTGTACGTCTGCAGTCTAAGAGACCCAGAAGTCGACTACGTGCTATTCGGCAATAACACAAGTGTTTTCGCGAGTATTACTACTCCATATCGAAGTTTTTTGTGCGACTGCCTTTTTCTCTCTCGTCCTCCTCTCCTCTCTACTAGCCGGTTACCTCATTTCCCGACAGAGTACCACTGCTAGCACTGACACTTCCACCAAGTGCAGAGTACTGCTTCACCACTGCCAGTACTCCATCCGTACTAGGCGTAATATAGCCACACCACTACCGACCGGGCCATTCACATAATATCACAGCAACTAAGCCACTACTGCTGCTCGGTGACGTCCTAGGCGGAGAGAAGCAATACATGCGAATACCAACCTTACTACCCGCTATTATCTACTGCTATAGAGTCCAGTTCCGGTAGCGGGTAGTGTCACTAGTACCTGCGGACGACTAATAGTACCGGACTCTTTAGCACACCACTGACACTGGGTGATTTTCAGCAGCAGCAGCAGCAGCCCTGGGCCTAATCCCGCTGCCGAGAGAAAGCGACCCCTCCCCTTCCTCCTCTCTTCTTTCAAACTCCTTTTGACTTTTACCTCGAACCTCTTCTCTTGACAAATACGGCTACACTACTGCTACTGCCCGGATCCTCTTTCCGCCCCATACCTAGCCTTCCTGCTTTTGGGCGTCTGCGCATCTCCTCGGTTCATCCCTCCGGTCGCCGTCGATTCTCTATTATTCTTCCCCCTCCATCCCATACATCACCAGGAACTGTCCACTGCCCCCCCACGGCCCGGTCACACATTGGTCGAGTCCGGGTTAGCTCTCGTCGAGCCGAGCCGAGCCAGACGACAACCCTTCTCTCAACCAACCGACGCACATTGCACCGCAACCATGACTGCAGACATTAGCGACGTACATGTTTCCTTTTTCATCGTCTCCCCTCTTCTTCCCATCCTCCCTGTTTCTTCCCCCTTCACAACTCCGCGCTTTACTTGGCAGCCGCAAACACCTGCCTCCCTTGCCTGTCTCCGTTCCTTTCCTCCCGTTCAACTTGCTAACATGCAGACCCCCGCACAACAGTTCCTCCCCAGCGATGCCTTGGACATCATGACCTTTAGTCAGATCATAGAGATGGACGACGCCGACGATCATGAATTCAGTGTGTCCATTATCTTCGGTTTCTTTGACCAGGTTGAGGAGACTCTGCAAGATCTGGACAAAGCACTGTAAGAAGCAACCAGCAGACGTCATAAGACCTATGCGATCACTCTTTACCTGCGTCCTAACACCCACCGTTTCCATAGTGAGGAGCGCAACATGGACGAAATCTACAGGCTCGGTCACTTCCTCAAGGGCTCGTCCGCTACCATCGGCCTCATCAAGGTCCGCGACGCATGCGAAAAGATCCAGCGCTACGGGAAGCTCGAGAACCTCGACGGAACGCCGAACCAAGACAAGGAGCAGATGCTAGAAAAGATTGAGAAGACGACGAGCATTCTCAAGTCCGAATACTCTCGAGCCGAAAAGGGCCTGAGGGCATTCTACGCCCAGTTCGGCGAGTAAACAGGTTTTGCCATCATCCCACACGACACAACTCTGGTAGTTCTCCTTGTCATCTTCATTTGTTTCCCTGTTCTTTTATTTCCTCTCTTCTTCAATGGGACAAGGGGCTGCACTACGGGCGCCCCTCCTCTTTTTTTTTTCTTCTATAGCACCGCGACGACACTACGAGGAAGTGAGTAACTAGGCGGTTAAGACGTGGTTGTTAAAACTGCCTCTCGCGGGGTAGATCGTTCACGATATGGGACCGGCTTCGCACATCCAATCGCCATTGCCCCGTGATCACATTCTGCCCCCAAGGAGGCACACTCCAGGATCACCAAACCAAACCTGGAAATTTGGCATCAAGGGACTATGGTCTAGGCCCTTTTTTTTCTTCTCTCATCTACTTGTTCAATCTTTCGTGTTCCACTTTTGGCGTCATTAATGGAGGTACAGGTGAAGATGGGCAGTCGGAGGGAGCACAATGTCATGGTCGTAGGCATGACTATCTAGGAGCCCCTCAGGGTGAGGCTGGTCGGATGAACGACTGGCTTAGCTGGCAGAATGGCCGAACAGCATGTGTCGAATTACCTCCCTGCAATACGAGCGAGATAGGGGTGAAGGGGAGGTTGCGCGGCACAGTGAGCGAGAGCGAGCGAGCGAGACGAGTTGGATTGTAAATGTTCCGGAACACTCGTCGGCTTGATGATACATGTATATAGAATTAGAGATTCGGTGAGCATGAGCATGCGCGCGTGCGCACGCTGCGTCTGCAGCGCACGAGAGCAGAGCGGCCAGACGGTTGGGTAAAGGCGACAGCGTTTTTTCCCCTTCATCTTGTCGTCCTCTATCCTGTCATGGGTTTTCCCCTTGGATGGTGCCCTTCGTTTGTACTCTGCTATTCTGCTGTCTTCGTTTTTCTCCCCTTATGCTCTGGCGTTACTTGCCATTTCCCTCCGGGACCCTTCATCTCGTCACCTTGGTTCGAGGCCCATCTGCATCTTGTACTCGTATATCGCAATTCCGTGATACCCGAGGTTTGGGGGAGAGTGGGGG